CTCACACACACTCTCTCTCTCTCTCTCTCTCTCTCTCTCTCTCACACTCTCTCACCCTGTCGCCCCCTTCCTCGCTCGCTCTTATCTCTCCGCATTTCTCGTCTTTTCTAGGGTGGTATCTACTGGTTCATGCTTATTGATTACTATGGTGCCTCCCTGTCTCTACTGATGCTCGCCTTCTGCGAGGTGGTGGCGATCACGTGGATCTATGGTACGTCATATTTTTTGCGTACAGATATTTTTGCGAATTCAGACTTGACGGACAAGTTCGCGAGTGGTTAATTTTGCGGTCGGTGAATTATGAATTATTCGGTATGAATTATTCGCGTGATGTTATTTTCGCGGTCGGGGACGCGTTCGCGAAATTCGTGAAAATTAACCCACCGGGAAATATACAGCGTATACAGTAATCATGGCTTATATAGCCAATGTTGTGAAGTGTTATTACTTCTAAACAAAAAAAACTCTTAAATCAACAGCTTTCGCCAAATCTCTCTTTAGTTTTTCGCGAACTTGAGCATTTACAGTGAGCAGTACAGTTCTTTGATCTCCTACAGCGCTATCATATATAGTTCGTCAACTTCGCAAGACCACTATATTTAGCAGAATACGAAGTTGTGTCGCCATCTATCGGGGCATTTTATCTGAACGGATAGATTTTTCGCTGGGAATGTTGGCGAACGTTGCCTTCAAATATACAATCAACAATCAGTATTCATAACCTCTACGCAACCGTAGACATTTCGTCATGTCTGTCGCCATTTAATTTTGACGATGTTTTTTCGATTCAACTTCTATAAATCGGGGTAATACTCGCCCGAATCTGGGATTCAATTGAAAAAGTACGTAAGCCCTAATGTTTGTTTAGCATTGCGTTATCGTAGTGTAAATTACATATGGGCGAACTTATGTAACTCGTACTACCGTAACGTGGCTATAACTGCGGACAGTGTAACTATCGTCTGCAATGCCTATAATATGCCAGACATGTTCTGCTTGCATCTATGACAAATACGACATACGCATATACGCTCTCCTATGACACTATTTGTCACAGGAAGATTCTTCCTATGACAAATATTGGCGAGTCAACTTCGTTCCGCTTTACAGCTGAAATTCGCTGCTTGCGTTCATAATAGCGCTTCTAAACTCCTATGATGCGCACAACACATACAACAATATTTGTCATAGGAGGAATCTTCCTATGACAAATAGTGTCATAGGATAGCGTATATGCGTATGTCGTATTTGTCATAGATGCAAGCAGAACAGGTTGATATGCCGAATGGTATAGCTGAGCTTGTGTCGTGTTGTGTTTGTTGTGGTATAGGTACGGATAGACTATCTGCTAATGTAGAAGAAATGACAGGTCGACCGGCACCATTGTACTTCAAGCTATGCTGGCGCTACCTATCGCCTTTGCTAATTCTGGTAATATATGGTAATAATATTCTGGCAAAAATGTGCAAAATATTCAGACTGGAAAAAAAGCTGACTATCTCCTGCACCTCCTCCTCCTCTGCCTACAGTAGGAAATCTAGTTATCTATTCACTCCGTGATAACATGAGATGTTAATTTAGCTCGTTATTGTTTATATGCTGCTTAGCCTAATTCACGTTGATTTGTCTTATGGAAAAAGAAGTAGCATGTGTGGCGGCTTTCTACTAACTGTTACCTTGCAATAATTATTTGCAGATGTTCGTTGACGGTACTATATGTTTCGGGTGGAAGAATCGCTTAGTCCGTTACTAATTGATTATGCGCGGTCACTAGGTGGCGGGGGCAGGAATCACAGAAGAGTCGTGCGGTGATAATCATTAGGATATGTGTGAGCCAACCCTTTAACTCGTCATGTAAGCGGTCACTCGCAGATAAGCATATATATAGTATATATATAATGGTCATGGGGATTCTATTAGTTTGTGTTTACTGTCATTTAGGTTGGGTAGGCGGTTAGGGTTGAGGGTTTATCATCATTAATCATTAATGCAATCTATGATAGTCAAGTTGGGACACTCGTATGGAGGTGATCTAGCCGTTTCTACAATAAGTTACTCATTCCATGATGTTGCGTGTGACGGTGGTACGTAGTAATGTTCGGTGACAGCTCGTGATCGTATCAGATGTAACGTTACTGGATGTAGTTAGTAGTGCGTCACTCGCAGTGGGCGGGCACAATCGAGCTAGAACCCATGTAAGCCCGAAATTCGAAATGCGCGCGCGCCCGACGCGGGACGTAATTTTACTCGATTGTGGCGCAGTCTGTGGCTGGCGCACGAGCCTCAGGTGATCTGGGGCATTAACCACTTATTCCTGCAAGTAATTTTACTCGTGTGGCGTGCGACCGCGTGAAAATGCTTTACGGCGTGAGTATTTTGACTCATGCGTCACTTTTTACTTGTAGTAGACTAATGAATCTACGATTTCTATGGGGGCGTAATTAGAAATGCGTATAGATACGGACGCCCAACCTCATAGATGGGTTGGTCGAAGGAAATCATGCAGGCCCGGTCAACTAAGCGGCAGTAAGAGTAGAATTTGCAGAGCACGTACCCCTTGTGCGTTTTTGCGCATTTATGGAGGTAACTGTCAATAAAGCGCGAGATTTTATAACCCAACATGGAAGCATATAATGTCTAACGTTCTCCGCATTATGTAAGCCCGTAAGCTATTGCAGACGATTGATAGGAACAGTGAGATGTAAGAAATTGATGCTTAGTAAATTGTGGTGTTGGGTGACTGCGTGTTATGGGTGGCGTAATTGACTCAAGTAGTGTGTGGGTCTAAGGTCTGAGTTATTACGTTAGCAAGTATTCAACTGCATTGCAGTTTTCTACGCGGAGCGAGTAGGTAACAGTATCTAAGTAACATATAACATATCTATATAACATATATATATATATAAGTATAACTACACAATTACATGCAACACTAAAACCTGTTTGTATGGCTATATCTTTATTATTGTACACAGCATGCATGCGTCTGGCTAAACACAGTTAATACTATTAAATCAATATATTCATCATTCCAAAGTGCAAAACTTTCCTGCGTCTGTCCGTAGGCTCGTCTATCGTAGACGATGACACACTACTAACGTATCACACAGTATCACACACTATCACACAGTATCACACACTAT